GGGTCTCAATAGGAAATGCTTTTCATTGGATAAGGAGGCATTATTAGGAGCTGAAATCCCGCCCAATCCTCTGTGTTCCATCGTTCCCTTAGTCACCAATCACTGGACTGAAGTTTTTCCTTAAAGAGCATTGCCCAGGAAAAGCAGTTTCACAGTCAAGAATTAGTGGCTTAACTGCCACTTGACAATATAAAAAGTGTCTTTCCTGACCAATTAATCCACAAAGTCTGTGAGCCTGTTTTTGCTGTAGGACGGCTACCATCTTACAATTCTAATGAGGAAAAGGAGACAAAACTTCAAACAAAGATGAGGGGGAAAAAAAGCAAAATATATAGGAAACAAGAAATGGAAAATTATTTGTTGACAATAACATGTATGTTGATGTGCTTGATTGAGCCAATATACAGTGTACTCTGGATGGAAAATCTCATTTTGTATGTTGTAATGATGTGCAGTAAATGAATGTAAATAAATAAATTTAAATTAAAAAAATCTATAAAAACAAGAAAAGAAATGAATATACAGAAAATAAAAAAGCAACTCCAAACTGAGAGTATTTCAATTATGATCAACCCATGTTTGTGCCTATTTGTTCAAAATAATTATAACTACAATATTGGTGATAATAAGTACAGGACAGGAAAAAGAAAAAGTGGATAGTACCACAAATACATACCTATTATACTATGCAAATTAAACCTTTACCACCACCACCACACACACACACACACACACACACACACACACACACACACACACAGGAAAGAAGAAAATTCAATGCAATGCTCACTAAGACAGTGAAGTGTTCTCAGATGGAGATGTGCTGGGGTCCCAGAGCTCTAACACCCACCTTCCATGAACTAGGGAGTCCATAGCAAAAGGAGGGTCTATAGTTTTCTTAGATAACTGCCTGGTAGAAAGTCTAATTACTGTGAAATGCTTCAGAGGTGTCTTTTTTGTTTTGTTTTGTTTTGAGAGGTTCTTGCCATAGGGCACGTGAGCTCGCCACACAGACAGAGAGAGACAGAGAGACAGAAAGCTAGAAATCACCCCCCAGGGGGGATGGCCACACCACAATCCCTTCTCCTCCTTTCTCCTCTCGGGATCTTGGGCATGCACGCACACACGCCTGGCATGAGTTTTAAGCCACCGGGTCCAGGACTAGAACTGCGGTTTACTATGAGGGAGTCCAGCAACATAGCCATTATGCTAACTGCTAGTCCCAATGTTTCAGAGGTTTACTACAAAAACAAAATTATTAGTACATATAGTACAGATGCAATCTGTTTATAATGTGGAGTTATCTTTATCTGTGTACCTCCTCCTCCCACACCCCCCCCAAGCAAGTACTTTTCCTATAGATTGACTACTTTGGTCACCCACACAGCTTTTTTTACCCTTCCCTATTTTCTTCTTTCTCTTCCTCTCCCTGATTTCAATTGTAGCATAAACTCATTCATTCATCTTTAATTGCATTGCTCACCCTTCCCCTCTACCAGTTTCCTCCTTCTCTCCTCTACCTACACTCATTGCTAATTCAGTGGAACCATCAATAGCAATCATTCTCCTTTCTCAGGAATGAAGCTCTGGCCAGGAATAAGGTTCTTTCTTTCTGTGGGCGGAGCTATGCCCTTGGAGACTTCAGGGAGCCTCTGCCTGCTTCAAATCTTTAGCCTGCATCCTTAAACTTCCTCATATAGAAAATGTTTCATGCTTGTTTATTTTCCCTCTTTCTTCTGCTCTATTGTGGCTGTTCTTACTAATGGTCAAGGCCAGTAAACAAGTCAGTGTGAAGTTGACACTAGCCTTATTTATCACCTGTGACTTAGTCTGTTTTTTTGTTTTTGTTTTTGTTTTTTTTTGCCTTAGAATGTGTGCCCTGATGACCATGCCACAATCCCTTCCCCTTCATTTTCCTCCTGATCTTGGGCACACACACTTATGCACCCAGTGTGAGTTTCAAGCCACCGGGTCCAGAACACCAACCACAGTTGGCCATGTGGGAGTCCAGCAATGTAACTGCTATGCCATCTCTTGGCCCCACCTGTGACTGACTTTGAAAAACACTTTGTCTATTACTCTCCTCCCCCATTCCATCATCAGTCTTTACTCTTTCTGTTCCCCACTCTGCTTGTCTCAGGCATGCCTATTTCTGTCAGTTGCTGACACTGGCTATGTCTACAGGAGTGGTGTTTTACCTACTTTGGGCCCAGACCAGTCCTTGGTGTATTTATCCATTCACAAGACAAAGATACAGTTACTGTCCTTCAGAACTTCACAGACTAACTGGGGACACAAAGAGACATAAAACAGTGATTTTTCTAAGGGCAAATTTTGTAAACCCCTGAAGCAGTTTTATGGACAGTAAGTTCTGTAAAGGATCAGAGGATGGGGATAAAGTCCCATGGGTAGGGCCAAGAGGGCTTCCCAGAAAAGATGGGATTGGAGCTTGACCTTGATTGATGATTAGAGTTTAAATAAACCAAGAAGGGAAGGGGATAGATTTTCAAGTGACCAGAACCAAGTGATAAAATGCAGACAGTGAGAAGAGACAGGAAATGAGGATGAGACTGGTTTGTGAAGAGAAAAGAAGGGTAAGGAGAAAAGCTTTTGAAGGTAGTGCTCTATCATGGCAACTCAATCCACTATAATAACTGAAGTATTAACCTATAATCACGATCGCTGCTTTGTTTGATCAACTCACTATCTGTCTTCTTCTTGGTATAATATCCCTCAATCTTCCAATTCATCTGACTTCATTTTCTCCCTAAGGAACTCAAGCACCTTTCTGATTAATCTTACAAATGACTCCTTAGCAGGTCTTTTAAGATGTCATTGGGGAGACCAGCAGATGGTATAATGGCATCATCACTGGATTCCCATGTAGTTGACCATGGTTTGAGGCCCAGACCCCAGTGGCTTAAATTCATACCAGGCACGTGTGCATGCTTGTCCAAGATCCCGAGAGGAGAATGGAGGAGAAAGGATTGTGGTGTGGCCATCCCCCCAAAGGGTGATTTCTTGCTTTCTGTCTCTGTCTTTTTTATATGCTGTTGTGTAATCTATTTTGGTGATAATTTGATTAATCTTGGTCTCTCTCAGTTGTAAACTCCAAAATGGTATTGTCCATGTCCGTCAAATCCCAAACTGATATTAGCATATTAGTGGCTTTGACAAAAATTTTTTTCCTGATCTCTCTCACCCAACAGAAGCGATGATGTGACTTTTTTTTTAATAACTTTTCAGCTAAAAACATGTGCCATTTTATCCACTTGCATATGTATCCACATAATGTTGTCATTTTAGGCATGAAGAGTACACACACAGGGAGCCAGCAGTTAGCATAATGGCTATGTCACTGAACTCCCACATAGTCGACCGCGGTTCGAGGCCCGGACTCGGTAGCTTAAAACTCACGCTGGGCGCGTGTGCGTGTGTGCACAAGATCCCGAGAGGAGAATGGAGGAGAAGGGATTGAGGCGTGACCATCCCCTCTGGGGGGTGATTTCTCGCTTTCTGTCTCTATGTCTCTCTCTGTCTGTCTGGCGAGCGCATGCACCTTATAGCGAAAACCTCTCCAAAAAAAAAAGAGTACACACACATAAAGAAAAAAAGGCCTATGCACAAAAAGTAGTAAAGTTTATTCACTATCATCCTCTTTTCCTCTCACTTCACTCCTTGCTTCAAACTATCTAGTTTTGCTTGTCCAAAACATCTAGTTTTGTTTACTCCATTATTTGTAAGGTGGAAGGGAAAAGCTTTTCCAAGGCATTCTCCAAATACCCAGTTTATAGCTACACACTTAATCTAAAACATCTTCTTTAAAAGGCCTTCGTTGGGTTGCTGATGTCTGTGCTACTGGGAAGGGGGAATTAATATGTAACTGAAAAAGTATATTAAGAACTATCTGGGGGAGGGGCCAGCAGTTAGCGTAATGGCTATGTCACTGGACTCCCATGTAGTCGACTGAGGTTCAAGTCCCGGATCTGGCTTAAACTCACGCCAGGCGTATGTGCATGCATGCCCAAGATCTTGAGAGGAAAGTGGAGGAGAAGGGATTGTGGCATGGCCATCCCCTCTGGGCGGTGATTTCTTGCTTTCTGTCTCTCTGACTCTCTCTGTTTTTCTGGTGAGCACATGTGCCCTATAGCAAAAACCTCTCCAAAAAAAAAAAGAACTATCTGGGGGTGCATGCATTTCATTTTTATCTCTTTGAAAAGAAAGTAACTGAAATATGACTAACTTCCAACTGGGAATTTACACACATGTATAAAAACAAACAGATGCTTGGGACCTTTACACTCTAAACCCAAATCATTTTTTCTTTCTGCCGATATCAAAGGATTGGGTGAATTTACCTAGAGTGCCAGTAGCTCCACACTCTGCTAGTTTCCCTATAAACAGTACAAGTGTAACCTAAGGGTTTTAACTATGCCTATGAAATACGGTCCAGCTAACAGTTTTGGTAACTTCCAAGGGCTCTAAATGAAAACAGTGTTCTATAAACCTGGGTAGTGTTCTAGGGAAGGGAAGCCAGTTAATTGCTAATTTTACATTAATTAACAGATATCTTAAACTTTCAGAAAACAAAGAAAGTAAGATCCTGAATCCTATAGCCTTTCTTTTTTATACCGCTTTCTTTTGCTTCAATAAAAGGAAGCGATCACAAGGTCAGGTTCTCAGCCACTTTATTTAAGACACTATGTTCCTTAAAGGAAGAAAAAAAAAAAAAAAAGATTTCCAACGCAATCCCTGGAAGATTTTTAGCTCACCCTTCACAATGGAGCACCTTCACTTCCTAGATATTTCTCAAAAAATGGGCTATC